AGAGACCAAACCATTTTTGCATAAGGTACTAATTTACATGAATCCAGCCTCGTACCATTAGAGGAACTTTTGGAAGCTTTTGACAACGTCCAAAGCCTAGGGTTTCTGTGTTCACTAAATGTTTGGATATGGACTGTTACCAATACCTGGAACTAATCCTGTATTCCTGGTTCCCTTTTTGTTAACTTAAACCACTTTCCAGAAAAAAAGGGAGAATTCCTGGTGGAGAAGGACAAGTAAAGAGAGTGGAGTTTAAATAATGCAGGTGGCAGGAGAGTCCCTGCTCGTGTATGTGTGTGTGTGTGTGTGTGTGTGTGTGTGTGTGTGTGTGTGTGTGGCAGGGGAAGTGGCACCTTACCCATCCATAGCATTCAAAGTCCTACACCCAGCAGAACAAACTTAGTGAACAAGGACAAAGCCACTGGGACCTGAAGTACCACTTTCCTCCTTGCGCAGCTCAGAGTAGACAGAGAGGCATCTGAAGGATGCCTCCTTGGCGGCTTGTTTATCACTAACAAAAAAGCTTTTGGGGAGGAAGAGAAGGGAAAGCAAGCAAAGATGCAAACAAAAGACTTGGCATGGTCAATTAGGTCTCCAGCTTATGGTCAGAAATGTGGCTTTCCAGGAGGGAGAGAGACAAGGGTACCAGAACAGGGAGGAAGAAGAGGGAGGCTGGTGAGCCAGGAAGGTGATGCTAGGGAGTCAGGAGAGGGAGGATGAAAACTTGGAGAGAAAGAGACTGAAGAACAAGGAGAGGGAGTCCAGAGACAGGGAGAAAAAGGCTGGGGAGTCAGGAGAGATAGGTTGGGGAACCCAGAGAGGCAAGGCTACAACATGGGCAACCTGCCAGCTCCCAGAAGATCTAAACGCAACTGCTCACTTCAAGAGGATTGACCCGGAGCATTTTAGCCTCATGGTTTCCAAACCTCCTCAAGTCTCCACTGCCAGAGAGCCAGCTGCAAATGTGAGAGGAATTCAGAATGCTAGCCTAAGTCATCAGGAGCATGTTGGGTTATTTAGGAAGGTACAGGTGCACGGTGGCTCAGTCAGTAAAGAAGTATCGACAAAAGCAAACTAAAATCCCTGGTGAGTTCTTCCCTAACATGAAAGCTGGGTGACATTCCCCTATGATGTCAGCTGATGACAGTATGGAGGGCTTGCTGTGATTTCTAAACTTGCCCGACTCCTTATACTGTATACATGTAGTACTTTGCTCAGGAAAGGTGACCCTTCATTAAACAGCCCCGCAAGATGGGGAGGATAAGAATTGTCCTTCTGGGGTTGACCAGATGGTGAATAAACCAATCGGATACTGTAGAATGAACATGAAAGGGTGCTCCATCATGTGCTAGTTTCCCAGTGACTCTCACAGCACAGAAAGTAGCCAAGCAGAGAAGAAAACAGCAGAGGCAGTCCTTCCCCCCACACAGCCAGATTAAACCAACTCTGAGTGAACTGGCACCACTTCGCTCAGTCAGCTTTAACAGAGAAATCACAGGAAGGCCAGACAGACAGCTGGTTCTAAACAGTTTACAAAGTGTTCAAAAATAATTCATACCAGTGCTTTAAAATTATCTGAACTGCTCCATTTCAGATATTTTATGTTATGTATTTCTGTAGTGCCCTAGATCACGTCCTGGGTTTTGTATTGTGTTGGGCCAGTGTTCTCCCATAGATTCCCCTACCCACCTACTACCTCTATCATTATATCGCATGTACATATCCATCAATTTCAGATTTTTTTTTTTGAGACAAGATTTCTCTGTGTAGCTTTGTGCCTTTCCTGCAACTCACTCTGTAGCCCAGGTTGGCCTTGAACTCACAGAGATCCACCTGCCTCTGCCTCCCGAGTGCTAGGATTAAAGGCTTGAGCCACCAACGCCTGGCTCCAATTTCAGATATTTTTAAAAAGTTAGCATCAAACAAGTTGCTATGTTTTTCCTGACAGTACTCCTACAGAAAGTATCTAACCAGACAACTGTTGCAGATACATGGATTTATATTATGTTTAGAACCTGCTTTATGATATCTGTTTGTTCTGGTTTGGATTTTTTAACCATGTATATGAGTGTTTTCTTTGCACGTATGTATATGTGTGACTGTGGTGTACACACCGTGTTCAGTGCCTGTGGAGGTCAGAAAAGGGCATAGGAAGCCCTGACAATGTAGTTCCAGATGGTTCTGAGCCAACATGTGGGTGCTGGGAACCGAACTAGGGTCCCCTGAAAGGGCAGTAAATGCTTCTAACCTTTGAACCTTCTCTCCAGCCCCTAGGTTTTTAAGGTAGTATCTCAGGTAGCCCTGGGATGTCCTCTAATTCACTATGTAGCCAAGGCTAGCCTTGCATTCCTGATTCTCCTGCCTCTACCTCCCAATTGCTGGGAGGCTGGGGAGCTGGGAGAGGGAGGCCTGATTGCCCTAGCAGGGGTTCCCATCAGTCATGTTCTGGACACACCGGACTTTTTTCACTGGGTCTATGGTTTAAGACGAGATAGTTCTCAGAGACTGAGGGTAGGGGCTTATTCTCCTGGTTACCCAGAAATGCCAAACCAGCTCATCTGTTCAAACATGAAGCCAGCCAGCCTTGCCTTATTGCAGTTTAAAAGAAACACAATGATACTGTAAATTAGGAATATAGGGCATAAAACTTCATTGTTTTCTTTCATTTCTCCCTCCTTGGGGGAAGTACTACACCCAGTAAGAGGTAACATTACCAATTACATATTTTAAAAATCTTTATAAATGCAACCTGTTCTGTATCATTTATTGGCTTTGTTTTTTTTTTTTTTTTTTTTTTTCCCCCGGCAAGGTTTCATGTAGCCCAGCCTGACTTGAAACTTGTTATGTTGCTGAGGCTGGCCCTGATTCTTCTGCCTCTACCTCCCAAAGGCTGGGGTTACAGGTGGTTCAATGTCAGTGGTTTCAAACACTGTAGAAGGCAAAGAGGTAACCATTTGGCTGAAGGACAGGAGAAACATAATTTAAAAGAGTGAGTCCAGCCGGGCGGTGGTGGTGCGCGCCTTTAATCCCAGCACTCGGGAGGCAGAGGCAGGCGGATCTCTGTGAGTTCGAGGCCAGCCTGGGCTACCAAGTGAGTTCCAGGAAAGGTGCAAAGCTGCACAGAGAAATCCTGTCTTGAAAAACCAAAAAAAAAAAAAAAAAAAAAAAGAGTGAGTCCAACTGCGAAATAGAAAGCTTTACAACTTGGGGGGTAGGAGGGTGTCTTTGCTTCTTGTCTGGATGTCTCTGGTTTGAAGAGACAGTGCTACAAAGAACAAATGTGTAGAGTCAACACTAGGAGTCCAGGAGGCCCTGAATGAGTGAAGTCTGTAGGGAATGTGTATTGTTGACATGGGGAGAGCCATGTCGAGGACTCCAATGCCTCAGCCCCAGAGAAGTGGCAGAGGGATGACAAAGCCTTCCTCCTGGGCAATGTCAACCATTCACCAATTTGTATAAAAATGAGCAAGTGCAGCTTCCTCCTCCTGGATGTCTACAGCGCGAAGCCAGCTGCCCACAGAGAACTACAAGGACTAGCCCACCCTCCCCCTGTGCAGTGCATAATGAACATGCTAAGGTTCCAGGCCGTGGCTGTAGTAGGTACTGTTCCATCAGAGTGCACACACCCCACCTAATCAGTTTTTCTATACATGTGTCTTTGTGTCTGTCATTTCTTCATTCCCTCACCTCCCCTAATCAGGGCTCCAGGACCCATGTCTGGTGGGTCATGGTAGAACACACTCGGTGTTTGTTTGGGTTCTTGAAGTTTTAAAGCGTGCAGCCTACGGCTGGAGAGATGGCTCAGCAGTTAAGAGCAATTGTTGCTCTTCTAGAGGATGAAGGTTTGGTTTCCAGCACCCACATGGCAGCTCACAATCATGGGCAACTCCAGTTCCAAGGGTTCCGAGGCCCTCTTCTGACTTCTTCTGGCTCCAAGCGTGCATGTGGTACCCATATATACATGTAGGCAAAACACTCATACACATACAGTTAAAAAAAAAAAAAAAGCATGCAACCTTTTAAAAGTTAAAAAGGTAGTAATTTATATACAACCAATATTAAGGTTTTTCTACACTGGGATTTATGAGGAAGTTTCACTTATAATTAATGGTGAGAATGTACCGTTCTGAAAAATTGGATTTCAACCCCAAAGAAAAATTTGCATTATTTCAGTAATGTAACTTATTTCAATTTACATCATAGTCAATGTATAAGAAGGCTTTCAAATGTTGGGACTTCACTGATCAAATTCATATACAAACCCCCTACTTTTATTTCCAGATTTATGATTTTCAGGCTCTTAACATTCTGGTGAGACTATTGCATAATATTTATGTGCACCCCAAACACAGTCACATGATAATCTCAGATAAGTCTCCCCTACCTCTCCAGCATCCTACCCCCATAACAGACCATTTAGAAACCAGAATAAGACCCTGGGCACCTGTCTATAGTGTCACATGATCATCTCAGTAAATGCGGAAAAAGCCTTTGACAAAATTCAACATGTTTTCACAATGAAAGTCATAGAGCAGGGGTTCTCAACCTTTCTAATGATGTGGACCCTTTAATACACTTCCTCATGTTGTGGTGACCGCCCCCCCCCAACCATAAAAGTATTTTGTTGCTACTTCATAACTGTAATTTTGCTACTGTGGGGGCTGTGATCCACATGTTGAGAACTGCTGTCTTAGAGAGTATCAAGCTACAGTGAGCATACCTCAACATAAAGCTCTATGTGAGAAACCCACAGTCAACATCATCATAAATGGAGCAAAACTTGAAGCAATCCTTCTGACGTCAGTAATGAGACAGGGCTGTCCACTCTCCCACTCCTTTTCCATATGAGTATGACTTCTTTTCCTATGTGGATCCCTTTCAATTCCTTCTCTTGCCTAGTTTGCTCCAGCTACTGCTTTGAGCCTGGCCTCTGCTGTGCGCCATCCCAGGAAATGGCGGGGACCCAGAGGTGGCCGGTGTGGTGTCTGTGTGCAAGTTACCTCTCTCGCTCCTGCTCCAGCAGGTTGGTGAAGTCGTCGCTCTTGTTCATGTAGTCAGTGTGCTTGTGTTTCTCGTTCTCCAGCTCGTACACCGTGCGCCGGTGACACTTCTCGGCCAGCAGCAGCTGCTCCAGCATGCGGCGGTACGTCTCCTTCTGCTTTTCCTCCAGTCTGTCCAGCTGAGTGAGCAAAGCCAGGAAAGAGCTTAATGCCCGACTTCATCTGCAGCAACTGTACATTGTGACACTGGCCTAGGGGCGTATGACCTCACCGAGAACATTGAAAGGGAAATGGTGTGCCACCGTCTTCTGGTATTTTTTCAATGCCAACGGGCTTTACAAACTAACCGTAATAACCCTAACACTTTTGGTTTGAGACTTAATCTTGTTATGTAGCCTAGGCTGGCCTCCTGTGTGCTGGAATCACAGGCTTGTACTGTCACATCCAGTTACACAATGCTACAATTTACCTGCTGGCCTTCTGGGCAGACTCCTTGAATTTTAGGAGATTACATTATTTCACAGAAAGTGGATAACATCTTCCTAATCTCAGAAAAGTTAAGATCTCACCATGCACATGTACCAGACTTCTCTTCTGGGTAGTAATTATCACTGTCATAATATAGGGCTTGTAATTACCTAAATTTCTAGGGAAAATATAGGAAGGGTCCACACTCCTATTTTTTTCAAGACATGCTAAATGTAGGGAGGCTTTTTAGAACATTTAAAAGAGTATATTTCTCTGCACAAGGTCTTACAAATCTTACAGAGGGCTGCTGCTTCTCTGTGGCCAGAGTATCCCACTTCATGAAACCATGGCTTCATCAGCTCTTTAGTTTGAATATGCTGTCTACTGTTTGCACAAAGTATGTGCTCAGTAAATGCCTGTTCAAGGGGACGGAATCTTACAATATCAGCACTTCCTCTCCTACCCATTACTCTTTCTCTCAAAGTCCAGCACGGCTTTGATCTGGCACAGCTGAGATGAGCTCGCTCACTGTGGGGCTGTGCATGTGGGACTGGACAGCAGCATCCCTGCCTCTCTCGCTCCCGTGTAGCCAGGGATGTTAGCAGCATCTTTCTGACCAGATGCCACCAGCACCATACCCATCTATGATGAGCAAATGCTTTGACACTGTGCCATGTTTTCTGGAAAAATGAAATCCTCTACTTCTCACCATCTTATCTGAACCCAGTATTCCAGGTGGCATAGACATATTGAAATCCGTTCTCAATCCCACTAACAACTCCCTGACCCTTCTGGGGAGCAGAGCTGTGCAGAGTACCAGCATTGGAGCTGTTTTCTAGATTTCTGCTCACCCTTTTTAAGCTTGCTCTATGGTTCTCCTTACAGACGCACGATGCATTCATTCATCGTGAATGCATCATTTCGGGGACCCAAAATAAAAGGAAGGATATTTCACCCTCTCGTCTTCTTCTCTTCGCTTTGGAGCAGATAGCAGCTGGAAACTGGTTGAAAGACCTATACTAACTGGTGACCCACAGCATTTAGATCTTTACAGGTAGGCAGTTAAACTTCAGGGCCTTTTGACAAGTCTGGAAAAGTATTTGAAGAACAGCTCTGCCTGTGTTGTCATCCTTCCAGCTAAGGAAAGTGACGTATCTGAAGGCTCTCTTTGGAATGAAGAACCAAGCATGTATGGGCTGGTCTTTTAATTTACTTTGCATCCTGCATGTCATAGTACGATGCATTGTGCTCGGAAGTCCCAGCCTCTCCTGAGATCTCAAGGAATTGTATATGGGAAGATGATAGCATTATTAATTAGATGGTAGATGGAGAAATCCCAAGAGATACTGTGTGTATGGACATCTGGGGAGAAACATAGCACATAGAAATATCAAATATTTTGGTGCGGCCTCGGCACAGAGCAGCGGGCCTTGGCCTTGACCAAGTGGGCTTTTAAGGCAGCAATAGTCTTGGGCTGTGTCACTGGAGTAGGTTACTGGAATTTCTGTGGATAACTTTCACCTCAGCACACCTCATATAGTTTGCTGCAATTGTGGTTACATGATGAGAAAGACAGTCTTCTGGCCTCGGTCTACAAGTTGCTGAGGCATTCCTGCATAGTGTTTCTGAGGTGCTAGCTTCCAATCTTAAATTCTACATTTCTACTGTGTAGAAACTTACACAGTTAGCAGCAGATAAGCTCTGTCAGATGTTACTTCTTGTTTCTGTTTTTGTTTTGTTTTAATGATATCGAGGTCCTAAAAGAAAAGGGAAGTGGCTGTTCTCTTGGCGCTGTGTAACTTAGACAGTGTCTGAAGATCGACTCCCTGAGCAATGGGCCCTACAGATTCACGAATCACACACTGTGTCCTGACTTTGGGTTTTTGAGTTTTAAGAGGTGGTTCAGCACAGAAGAATGGCTGCTAAAGAACAGTGCAATTGTAATGGGCATCTACTATTCTGAACACATAACTTCCATTTGAAGAGACGGGAGGAAAATGGAAAGGCCAAGAATTTGCCAAGGAAAGAAAGAACATACTTAGAGGTCCTTTTTGTTTGGTTGGTTTTGTTTTTCTTTTTTTTCCCTTTCTTTATGGTTTTTGTTTTGTTTTGATTTGTTTTTCAAGACAATTTCTCTGCATAGCCTTGGCTGGCCTGGAACTCACTATGTTACACTAGGTTGGAACTCAAGCAATCCACTTGCCTCTGCCTCCTGAGTGCTGGGGCTAAAGGCATGTACCACCAAGTCCAGCTTCCTAGAAGTCTTTTTAATTACATTTTTGATTAATTGTGTGTGTGTGTGTGTGTGTGTGTGTGTGTGTGTGTGTGTGTGTGTGTGTTCTCATGTGAGGGTCCCCATGCTAAGACACTAGTGTAGAGGTCAGAGGAAAACTTGCACAAATCAGTCTTCTCTTTTTACTATGTGGGTCTCAGGGATTGAACTCAAGTTGTCCAGCTTGATGGCAAACACCTTTACCTGCTAAGCCGTCTTGTGGGACCCCAGAAGTGGACAAACTTGAGAAAGGAAACAACTTCAGCATGTTTTATGTTAAAGGACCATAGCTCTTGTGTCTGCAGAGGTTTAACTCCAAAGCACTGAGGAATTTAGGAAAAGAGAAATCAACTGAAGACAGCGTAGGAGGTCTTAGCAACCAAACTGGCTTACGCAGAAGGGGCATGGCTTTGGGGGCACTTAAGATAAGGCTAATTGTTGAATTGGAATGGGGGTACCAGTGGAGACAGGAGAGGGGAAGGTGACTCTTGTACACAGAGGATAATGGGACCCAGGACACAGCTAATGAGCATGCCATAATCCTTCAAGTGGTCCCATGAGATCACCCATAGCCCTTCCCTTAAGGATGCAAACCTTAGGATTTTCCAGGTGATTTAATACAGTCCATGGAGACTAGAGAATTTAATTTGTGGAAAGCAGGATAAGATGTCAGAAGCACTCCTTGGTGACAGACTGAATTGCTGACATTGCTTGGAGTCTGACTAAACATGTCCCATACTTTGTGATGTTGGGCTTGCGTTAAAAGAAAAAGGAGGCAAACTAAAGGGGATTCAGAGAGGAGAACATCAGCTTGGTCCAAACATGACTCAGTCATGATGGGGATTACAGGTATGTGCTACCATATCCAGACAGAAAAATAAATACTTGTATGGATATGTAGCCAGCCTGGGATAGATGGTAAGACCCTGTCTCTAAAAGAGGTTATTGAGAGGAGAAAGAGCCAGAAAAGCAGGTCTAGTGTCACCAATCCCAGGACAGCTCACAGCTGAGCATTTCTGCATGGCCTCCTCTGTCCAGGTACATCTCCTGGTGGTCATCAGAAGCCCCTCTCTGTGTACTGTTTTCAGAGTTCAGTGGATTAGGGGTGGTGATTCTGGTAAATGTGTCTGCTCTGGTGGCCTACCTCTCCCTGGGGATTGGGGAAGTCACCTCAAGCCCTAGTTGAGGAAGAAAAGAATTAGGAAGCCTAAACTGAGCTTTATCACTGTCATCATCATCCTCCTCCTCCTCATTGTAAAGCTGTATGTATTTTGCTCCTCACCCCCGCCCCACCCACAGGAGGAAGAACTTGAGGGTATGAATAATTATCATCTCCTAACCCAGGCCTGAGTAGTGCCTGAGTATCTAGCACCGGCCAGATGCTACATTAGAAGCTTTATAGCCATTGTTCCACTCAGTTCTCACAGCACCACTGTGAGGTGGCTGTCACTCCCTCACCCCACAGATAAGGCACCAAGGTTGAGTGAGCTGAAGTAGGCTCTGTAAAAACCACACACAGCTGGATCCCAAACAGCCTGTTACCTGATCTGACTCCTGCCCCACAAACAAACTTTCTTTCTGCCTTTGTTTTTTTTTTTGGTTGCATTTTAGGGAAAGCTGAGAGTCAAGATTTGCATTAATCAGAAAACGATGGAGCTGTCAATCTGTTTCGAATACTATCTAAACCGGATCTTGCCACTGATTTAGGTTAAAAGTTAAATTTAAAACTCATTTCCTCTGACTTTTAATTTCTACTTTTTAGTTTATCCTACTGATTGCAAAGCTGAATTTTGAAGTATCAGTGTAGCTACAGCCATTAAACTAGAACCCTAATTTGACATTGAACTTCCACTATAGCATGGGAGAATTTTTTAAATGTCATGTCATAGATAATAACAATAGCCCATAATTCCTAATATAATCTTGCATAAAATGATTCATTATAGCCCTAATTGATATTATTTCATTGAGATTTTTTGTCTTCATCACTGGAATTCACATAAGACATTTTAAATTAGGACATTTTAAGATACTCTCAAAGCAGTGGTATTAAACCACAACTATCAATAATGAATTCAATCTAAAGTTAGGTTATCATTTTTATAATAATCCTGAAAACTCAATGTAAGAACTAATCAGCCCCTCAAATTTTTAAATATGCTATTTCTTAGAGGAGCAAAACGATACGTATTTCAAGAGCACATAACTTTCCTAATCTTGTGGAAAACTATATTTCAAACCCAAAGCATGTTTAAGTAAAAGCTTGAGAATCCTATCAGAACTTATCTAGTACAGCACATGAATTACTTAACTGTAGTTAATTTTATATTAGAGCATAACAATTTTGTATTTGGGAGGAAACATTAAAGCATATAAAAGGAAGAGGGGCAGTTTCTCTGCAGTTTCTTTCTAGCTGGTACTCTGCTTTACCTCTGAGATGGGTTTCTCATAGACATCTTCTCCTATGGACTTCTCTTGAGCAAGGATGGCATCTCGGTGCAGGACCCGAAGCACCTTCTCTGGCTCTGCAGATCCATAATGTGCCTCCAGAACCTCAGGCTTGGTTTTCTCTGTCTTCAGCATGTGAATCACATCTTCTCTAGCCTGTGGCCGAAAGTACAGCAAGGTCAGATGGTTGACACTGGAGATCACACATGACACTCACGAAATCAGCAAGGAGCTTACAGGATGCATCCCACTGCTTCAGGTCTATTGCAGATTCACTGGGGATTCTGTTCTTTCTTTTTTTTTTTTAACCAACTGTAGATTGGCAAGCAGATACTCTGCTTTGGTTGCTAGGAAGCAGGGGAGCAGAAAAAGACTTTGTGCTAATATTAACTACACAAAAATTGCTTTACTTAAGCAGCACTGATATGAGAGAGGAGGCAGGTAGGACGGGTCCCAGAAAACCTGTTTCAGTATACATGAGGTCAGCAATGATCAAAAGCCTCCAGTTTTCTCTTTATGCTTTCAATATAGTATTCAAATCTGTTTTATAGGAAACCCCACTCCCTTGATTCTATAACCACCTCATTGTGGTTATAACTCTATATGAAATTAATGCACAGCCATTCTTACTGATCTCCTCTCTCATAAGGAATTTGCTTTGCACAGAAACATATGGTTGAGAATTCACACTGTCCTGGGGTAGGCTTTTAACTAACTAATACATATCAAATTCTATCTTTTCAACAGCCAGACTATCACCAGACAAGTCAGGTTGGTAGGTCATGGTTAGGTTTTCAGTGGTTTAGCTCCACATTTTACTGAGACTCTCAAGAAAACCAAGCTGTAGGTCTGTGGCATTGTCTTTGGTTCCATCATACCATACACACACCTCTGGGTGCTTTCGTTTTTTATTGCTTTGTTGTGATGCAGGTGATGTCTGCTGTGTATTCCCCCTCTACACTTGGAGCTGCCTTACCAATAGGGTAATAGGTAAACCAGCATGACTTCACTGTAACTGGTTTGGCACAGATTTCAGTCCGTAACAGTAAAGTAGTTTTTTCCCCTGCACCAGTGCTAACCGTGAGTTTAAAATTGCAAACACAGTGGTTACGGTGCACTAGTTAACAGGAGAGTTAACTAGCTAAATTGAGTATTGAATTCACAATCTGACCATTACAAAATTTGTGTTTCTTAGGCTTCTCATTTTGTTGCATTTTTTTTCAGTCTCCAAATTAATGTCACCCAGAAGGATAAAGATTAATTCACTAGTAGGCCAGCAGTGAACAAGAATTTTCATATCAGCGTTGCTGATACATATAGACATACTTATTTCAAGATAAAATGTAAAATATTAATTTCGCTTCGTAACTAGGAATATTAGTGAGACTATTAAGGCTGGAAAACAGGCTAAAGAAAAAGCAGTTCATCATCACATGGGGAAAACCACACAAAGCGCAGTGTCTTGTCAGGCTAGCAGGGGACTATGAAAATGTGGGACAGGGGCCTGGGGCTAGCAAGATGGCTCATTTGGGAGAGTGCTTGCCATGCAAGCAGGATGCCCCAAGTGTGTATCTTCAGAGGCCACCTGAAAGCAGACACAGTGGCACATATCTATAGTTCACTGAGGGAGAAGGCAAACAGTAGCTTTTTTTAATGGAGACTTCCAGTGTGCCAACCTCTATCATCACCATTTTTTTACTTTCACGTGTGATTCCAAATTTGCCTGCCTTGTCCACAAGCCATGGCATCCACAGTTTCTTCTTTCAAGATGACATTTTCATCTTTAGTCAAATCAAAAAAAATTGACCCCAGATATGGGAATGATTAAAAGAGAAAGATGGTAACATCATTCATTTGCTACTTTTATTAGCTTTTGGAGGATAGGTAGCCAAATGGGCTTGTTGGGCACAGGCTGTGACCCCACGTCTGATAACAATATATGTACTTATGTGAATGAGATGAGCATTGGAGCCCTCCCTTCCTTCTGAAGATCAAAAGCAGTTGATGTACAGGAGGCTTCTGCACTACAGGGCCGCCATAGGTTTGGGTTTATGCCTTGTCCAAGGTTATTTGGCAGACAGAATAAACAAGGGCTAAAATACAGCCCAGTCATCTATTACTAAATAAACTGCTCCCTGACTAAGGGCTGCATCTCCTGATGAAAGAGGCATTTTCTTTCCCTTCTCCCTCTCCTCTCTTCCTCCTCTTTCTTGTATGTGCACATGCATATATACATATGTTTGCTCATGCATGAGCATGTGTTTGTGGAGGCCAGGAGTTGATATCATGTCTTCCTAAATCACCTTCAGCCTCATATGTTCAGAGACAAGGTTTCTCATTGAAATTAACAATGTTAACAATTAAAAAAAAAGAATGAAAAACACACTCATTTATGTTTCACTAATGAGACACACAAAGGCAAGTAATGTACCAGAGTGTTTGCTCTCTTCTACCTAGAAGAAGTCCTGAGAAAGTCACCTTCATTCTGACTATAGATGACCCTATTCACAGTGTCCCTGGGATCTAAGACAAAGAATATAAACTCAAAGTCATAAAGATTGTGCCACACCCACTTGTTGGCATTGTCAGGATTCCTTTTGGATTATTCAAACACAGCAGAACCTGAGGACAGAACAGTCACTGTGCTAGGTAGTGATGCCAAGTGCACAGGAGCACAGGTCCCCATTGTGTTTGTGCTGATTCAGTCACAGTCCCACCTGACCGAAGGAACTGCCATAGAGCTATTCACACATTAGCCCCCCACCACAGAGCTATTCATACATTAGCCCCCTACCACAGAGCTATTCACACATTAGGCCCCCACCACAGATCTATTCACACATTAGCCCCCCACCACAGAGCTATTCACACATGGGCCCCCCACCACAGAGCTATTCACACATTAGGCCCCCACCACAGAGCTATTCACACATTAGGCCCCCACCACAGAGCTATTCACACATTAGGCCCCCATCACAGAGCTATTCACACATTAGCCCTCCACCACAGAGCTATTCACACATTAGGCCCCCATCACAGAGCTATTCACACATTGGCCCCCCCACCACAGAGCTATTCATACATTAGCCCCACAAACCACATTCTGAAGACTGTTACAAGCTGTCACAGGCCATGATGTAAATACAGCAGATGGCAATTGATAACTCAGATGTAAACCCACCAGATGAGTAACTCTCTGATGGAGGAACCCCAGTAAGCAAGACTTACAGGACCACAGACTCTGGAAACTGGCTGCGTCTGTCTGCAAATTCACATGTGCAAAAAGAGCTGTGGAATCTCCCCATTACCATGCATTTTCATGTAATGTGTACTTTGTAATCTCATGATCAGATCTCAATCTTATGGGCACTTATATCTGTGGACTGTCTAAAGACTTATCATTAAGCTGTATAATTTTGATAAATAAAAAATATACTAGGATATCCTTCATAACTAGCACTACTATTCCATGAGGACTGTAAACATTTAGGACCTGTTTTTTGTCTTTAGCTCAGACTAACATAAAGAAAACAGCAATTTCTTCTCAGTTCTAAGATAAGCTGCATACAATTGGCTGATTTGGGCCTCAGAGCAAATTTAAACTAGACTGTTTGTCTCTGTGAATGGATCATAATTTAAACTTTCACAGATAATACAAAAGAACAGAGGTTCAGATGTCTGGTTTGTTGAATCTAAGTCCTTTAGACAAAAAAAAAAAATGACCTAAATTGCTTTGCCAGCTTCCCCTTGCCATGTCTAGCTGATAAAAGGACTGACAACACTCCCTGCTCAGACCTTTTAGCAATTAACACTTCATAAAAATCTCTAACCTCAGTTTATGGTACAAGATTTTAGGCTCAGCTAACTAACTGTTTATTGTTTAGGTCCCAAATAACAATCAATTAACCATGTCCAGAGAGGAATGGTTTAATGTCTAGCTACTTTAGGAAAAGTTTCACAATTAGCCAGGGTTACCGAGGATGGTCCTCACAGCCTTGAATAAAGAGTTACAAGTTCCCTTCTCTGTGATCTGTGATTTCAAACAGGATATATATATATAGGTTTTGGACAGTTTCAATGCCACCACTCGGGAAATGCCAAACCCCACATCCCCACCTTTTTGTTGCCATGGTAAATGGCTCTGCTCCTTATTGTTTACTCAAGGAGAATTAGAACGGGAGAATTAGAGGAAGTATTAGAGCAGGGAACTAGAGCTGGAGAACTGAGGAATAGAAAATAAAGCGCATCACCCTCAGATTGTATGTGAGTCTTTTTCCTTCAGATTGATAAATAAATTTTTCTAAAGTTCCACTACTCTGAAAAGCATCCTTTTTGCAACCCTGGGTGTAGTCCTGACAGCTGGTCCCAAAGGCTGCAGTAGAAGACTTATCCCTCACTGTGGATAAGTGTTCCAGAAGTTGGCTTTCAAACATAAAATAAAGTAAACATTCTTGACAGCATGAATTGTACTATTAATTCATACTAAGTATATGTGACATAAGTATAAAGGAAATTAAATAAATTCTAAAGCAATAAGACAAACAACTTAATTAGAATATGGAATATAATCTGCATTGTTGTATAATGGGAAGAACCCATCTTTAAAGAGACTCAGAATTATTTTCTGGTCCTAGACCTGGGTGAATACATGTTGCTGTAAGCTAATTTTATCACCTATGGAATAAAACCATAACAACTGCATCATATAAATATTGTCAGGATGGAATTAGATATACATTCATAGAGTGACTAATGTAAAACTTGGCACAGAGTAGGTCCTATGTCAATGGAGACATTTATGATAATTTTTTCTAAATGGCCTTAACTTCTACTGGAGTATATTTATTATGCATAGTGATAACTGTCATAGATATTTTTGTACAGTTATATCATGTACTTTGATCCTATTCACTGCTCTGTCCCTTCTCCTTTATTCTCTTTCCTGTTATTCTCATTCCTCTAGTCTCACATCTACTTTCATGTATATGGTTTATGTATCTGTACAAAATCTAGGATCCACAGATGAGAGAACATGCAGTATTTATCTACCTGAGTCTGATGTGCTTAGCTTAATATGATGGTCTCCATTTGCACCCATTTTCCTGTCAACTACATGTTTTGTTCAACTTTATGATGGAATAAAATCCATTATCATA